ATTCTTAGCTGGGAACTTAAGAGTGGAATATATCTGACCCTATGGGATATTACTAGATTCTAGGGAGTAAGAAGAGACTTCATCAAATTCAGAGTGCACATTTTGTAGGGAAAAGGACTATGAGGCAAACCTTGTACGCACGTTGTGATGTTGTCCTCTGCAAGCGTTGAACAAAATGACAATATTTTCCAGTGTTATCCAAAGGACAACGTCCATCATGCGGACACTGCAAACAAAAGAATAAATACATTGAGATCGAAAAGTAGTAGTGCAAAATCTATTTAGGCAGTTTTATAAGAAACTTTACACTTACCGGAGCAACTATATATGCCCCATTCTTTAGTGTCGTCAATGCTTTACATTCTTTGCCAGATGCATCTTCTAGTTTGCGACTTTTCTAGAAATTACAATTTTAAAACGAAGGGCAAAATATCATTTAGAATAAACATCCTAACTTAGAAAAAAACAGCCCCTCCTCTCCATCCAAGCAAAACCAAAAATGTGAGTTTTACCCTTTTCTCCATCCATAAAATGTGAGATCGCATTTGAGATATAATATTAGATCCTTGTGGTGTTCCCGGTTCAACCAAAACCTGCTCAACAGTATATAGTTAGAGAGGAAATAGCTTTTTTTCCTTACAAAAAGAAGATTTTTGATACAGAGATAAGAAAGATATTTTAGTAGAACTACAACCGTGTCAATGAGATTTCCCCTGTATCTTCTTCTAATATATACACACACACACAAACAAAGAGAGAGGAAGAAAACAATTGTTATTTTATTCCAAGATCATGATCATGTTATCAGTTTTAGATAATACTTGAACTGGCGAATCTAGAACTAACTTCATCAATAAAATGTGAAAACTTTGAAGAAAAGCATATAATATAGTACTTGAAGATCTAAAGCACTTTTCTAAACCATCAGAAACTTCAGATAACACAAATATAATGAATCAACTAACTGTTGAGGCTTAATGAAAATGACTGCCACTTGGATGCATGCAAAATAAGTCTGTAGTAGAAGTGGAACAGCAGGCTCTTGTGGTGGTGGTTGTGGTGGTGGGGGGATTGGTTTTGGACTGCTGAACTATGGACTTTAAAACCTACCAGAACATCTCTTGTCAGTTCCCAGAGCTGGCGTACAACCGTGATTCTGTCCTTCAGAGATGGAATCTCTCCAAGTACATATGACTTCAATCAGACAAAATTAAAAACTAATCAGCACAAGACACTAAATAGCTTCACATAATCAAAACAGGAGCAACAGAGCACCACATCAATATATTCTTAACAATGAAAACACAATTAAACATACTTCTTAGTTTGATGAAGTAATAAAGTATTATAATGGGAGCATCCAGGGAATGCAAAAGTATGAAAACTGGGGCAGCTCCTACACAAATTCTAAGGAGCTAACAAACTACAACAAAATTGTACTTACAGCAATCACAAGATCATGTTGTCTGTCACTCTTTTTGACATCCTGAGAGAGTGCTTGAATACTTCCATAACTTTGAATGAGTGGCAAATTTTTAAGACCTACAGAAATTACAGGACATATTTTGCCACCTTTATCAGCTTTTCTAAATCTAGTAGTAGAGTAGTCATAAAAATATATGTAAAGGAGCTATAGGTTTGCAAACATGAAAAGTAAAGCACTCAAAACCGCTAAAGACAGAAACATGAAAGCAGTCCTTAACCACAAGCCTAGACACTCCTTTGATCTACAACAGTAACAGGCCACAATATCATGCAGCACATAAAGTCCCGGGGACAACAGCAAATGACTCCAAGATGTGACATCTTAGGTCATGGCTTGTGAAGCTCAGCCAATCTCATTCATATAAACATGATAAAAGCTCAAAGCATACAAAATCTTCTTCTTCTTGGCAAATTCTATACTCTGATAAGAGGACAATTTGCAAGGCTGGAAGTTGCATCAGCTTTATAAACAAATTTAATATGATGTACACATATAGACTTGTATTACTTTGTGTCTGAAGAATAGATTTGATTTCCGTAATATTTTGACAGCAACAAAGCACAATAAAACAATACTTCCACATAAGCCAGTGACTCAGAAATATTAATGAGCTGATCAGCAAGGTAGTAATTAGCTAGTAATTAGGATTCAAAAAATGCTTACTAAGAGTGTCAGACTTCTCCAGATCCGAAGGAGTCCAAAAAACAGCAGAAATGTACCTTTTATAAGGCTTTGTCCGGCACGCTGCATGGACTGTGATGGCTCTACCAAATTAATTCTATTCAATGACCGTGGCCACACTTCTCTAAGTGCCCTGCATAACCACACAATTGAGCAACTTATCGAACCAAAGGGTCAACCAAGATTAACATATTGGTATGACAATTAACCAAAAGAAATCAACTACACACAATATCAATAATCTTCTCACCAAAATGCAGAACCAGTCCCAGCCCCAAAATCCAACACCTTAGCCGGTGAAAACCCAGGCAATCTTCTACGTACCTAAAGTAAAATCACATAAAAGCAATCACTTTTAGCAACCAAATTCATATTCATGTTTCAAAATCCATATTTTGGAAAATTCATCTGAAACAGAGAACAAAATAGGAATAATATAAAGCATTTCAATGGGACGTCATATCTGTTTACCTCACTAAGCACTCTATAAAGAGCAGAGTAGACAGCAGGCATACGGGACGCCACATAGGCCACTGTTTCATCCTCCCTATACTTGAGGCCGATGTCACCATAGACGCTTTTGATTTTCCACCGCTGCGAACATTCAACAGACTTGAGAGGATCTTCCACAAGCTCCTTGGATGTGGAGGTTGGCAGCATCAAATTCACTTCCTTTATTTGGCTGAATGATTCTGATAACCTCAACACTTTTCTCTTCATATGTGGCTCCTGTTGCTCTGCAATAAATTAGATCCACCCGAAAGGCAACTTTAGATTGTGATCTAATAGAATAGCATCAATCAGTCAACCAACTATCCTCAATCCCAAACTAGTTGGGGCTGGCTCTTCTTGCTTTGCAATAAGTATTCCCCGCCGTAACACAAAATTTTAGAGTGAGATCACACAGAAGCATGTCAATCAATCAATCAATTGCATGTCAATCCCAAACTAGTTGGGGTCGGCACCCTAGCTCTTAAATAAGTAGAACAAGCGCAAACACGAAAATTTTGTGAGATATCAAACAGAAAAATATACTCAATCATAATCAACTATGCCTTCAATCTCTAATCAGTTGAGTTCTCCTCTTACAACACAATAATAGACCCAACCCAAGCACAAAACTTTAGATGAGAGCAAATAAAAGCTAAGTTGCTCGGACTCTTCACTTTCAATGCCGTACCCGTGTCGACACGACGTGGGTGTGGGTATGGGTGTGGAATCCGTGTCGGATCTGGTCAACCGATTTTGGGTACTTTGACCAAAATCAACGAAGAAATTTGGGACAGATACAACGATTTTTGAAAACAAATCAAAAGTTAGGGTGATATGGAAGAAAATGGAATACCTTGTATATATAAATTTCTATGTCTGTCCTTTTCCTTTTATTTCCTTGTTAAATTCTACTCTTGTTCAATATTTTCTCCTTCTCGGAATACCTTGTAAGTTTTTCACATAATGTCTCATAATTTAGACATATTTTTATAACTCTATTTTTAAATAATTGAATTATTTTTAGCCGAATCCCCGCACCTGTATCCGTACCTGGATCCGCATCCCCGAATCTTTAAATTTAGATCATGAAGGATCTGGCCTCTAGATCCGCACCCGTATCGAACACCCGCACCCGAGTCCGAGCAACTTAGAATAAAAGCATATCAACCATTCTACGCCTCGGTCTCAAATTAGTTGGAGTCAGCTACACAAGTCATCTCATCCATTCCATTTTCTTTGGGGCCATTGGTAGGATGTGACTAAATGGGCAGAGTTTTGGCCTAAAATAATCCACAAGTATCACTCTTGATTTAACCTTATCCTCGAAATATAACCTTTGATAGAAAAAAATCTTTTAAACATAAATTGAGAACTTTTTCACACCTAATGGGATTAAACTCTGTTACATTACGGTTCTCATTGAGCCAAAGAACCCCAAAACAGAATTTCAAACTTCTGAAATTCTTAAAAGTCCTGCAAGAGTCTGATTCCCGTGCCTCACATACACATGATTCCAAATCAAGCCTTCTCATCTCCTTAGACATACAATATCACAGTGAACTCAAACAACATATAATTCTCTTCACACAAAGGTATCAATATTTGAAGCATATGAAAAGTGGTGGCTGCTGCAAAACCAAGAAAGGTATGGCAGCAAAAGAAAGATAGCTGTACTTGGCAATGATTTGAATATGAAATTGTTGGTTGCTAATGTGAAGGGAACCAATGACTGTTACTAATTACTACTTTTTTTCCGTTGATATCTTATATATGCCATAATCTTGGAGAGAACAAAAGGATCAACTAACATGGTGTTCAATGTTTCATTAGAACTAGAATTCAATTCCCTACCAAGTCCGTGTTATTTGCATATATTCTCAGCATGAATTCTATATCCACTCCACTATAAAATCAAATCAGTAGAACTCTATACAAAAATGAAGGTTACATCAAACACTTATCAAGCTCTTAGGACCGGAAATACCAAGCTCTAAATCTTAACGCAAGAACTTGACTAACAAATAAGTAAACCCCATTTTCAATAATTAATCTTCTTCCCATAACCGTGGTGTCCGGGCCAGCTGCCACCTCTCCCAGCACAGGTGTTTCACAAATTAATCATTTTGCCCGAAGCTGCTGAAAATCAGCTTCAGTATAATGTCAAAATTGCAATTTTTGCATACTTGAAGGAATAAATATGTTAAAGGTGATATTATAAGAATGAAATGTAATAATTGAGGGACTATTTCAGCAAAAAACTCTAAACGAGCACATCCTAACGAAATCAATGTTTGAACAAACGTCCATAAAAAATAAAAAAGGTTGAAACTTTACCTCGGAGGTACTTTTTGATAGCTCTACGAAGGCGGAGAGGAACAATATGGCAACGTTCAGATTGTTTAGCTGCGGATTTGAGTGCTTCAGCAGTGAACTTTGGAACCGTTTCTGATACTATTGACGCCATTTCTGGTGGCGCTTGGCGGTTTCCGGTGAATTTCTGGCAGCTCAGAAGTGGCAAATTTGGGGGTTTAACGCTGCATAGTAGGGTTTATGATTTGGCACAGGGAAGGTTTCTTCCACCAGGTTACATTTGCAGTAGAATGAAAACTGTTTCTTGTGTTGGGTTGTGATGGGCCTGTGAGGGATGAAATTCAAAAATAATCATATTTACAAGTGGTAATTAAAAAATAGCCACAGTTTCAAAATAATCAAAATTTAGTTATTTTTTATATAAAGATAAATTTGAACGAAAATACTGTTCAAAATCCGAAAAATATTCCAGGAGTTCTAGCATAATATACTGAACTTTCAGTATAATATACTAGTTGCTCCAATCTCCGGTATATTATACTAGAACTTTTCGTGTGTTGGAGTTCCAACATAATATGCTGGAAGTTCATACACAGGTGCTTCAATCTCCAGTATATTATACTGGAACGCAAAATAGTGACTATTTTTCAATCTGTAAATTCTGGCTATTTTTCGAAAACTGGCTAGCCCATGCTATTTTTACCCATGTGAGAGTACCTTTATAGAGACTGGTCCAATAAGAAATGCCCAAAATAATGCACAGGCCATCCACATCGAGGAAGCCCAAGTCCCGCACTCTAGGCTGATTTATGCAAATATTCATTTTTTTTTAGTGAAATTCACATTTTATATTTTATTTTTATTTTGAAAAATAGAGTAAATATAGTTATTGAGAAATTATCCCTTCCGAATAACATTAGACTCGGGTCATATATACATTCATATAATTTTCAATTGTCTATGGTCTAACGTTTTCAATAACTTAGACCGTAGTTTAATATTTTCTTATAAGATTTTCAGTTTGATAAAAAAGAATCTTTATATAGTAAAAAATTCATCAATTACAAGAGAAATAAAAATAAAACAATTTACTAAACAACTGATATAAAAAGAGACAACTGACAAGAATTTGATCTTGGTCCATTAAAGAAGCCCAAGATAAAGCAGAATCCAATTATTAATACTTAACTATAGTTAACTAGTTCTGTGTTTTGCAAATAATCTTGATTAATAATATTGAAAAACTTACTAACTTGCTACATTCTCCGTTGTGTTCTAAAACGGCAACATCAAGTAGATTGATTTTATTTTATATTACTGTTACTTTCTTTTTTGTTTTTTATAAAGAAAAATTTCTTAAATTAAATAGATAAATTATCTTAAAAACAAATTTCAAAAGTTGGCAGACTCATACAATTAAATATCACAGAATTGCATTTGATTTCATACTTGCAGTGTTACTGGTCATGAAAATTAATAACATATATTTGAAAAAACTTAATTTTGGGAAGAAAATTAAACTTATGTATTAACAACTTTTCTTTAAAAGGGTAATTCTTTCAACATGCAAATATACTTGTAGAAGTATAAAATTAACTAACCTGCTATATTTCAATTTCTTAAATCACAACCAGTCGTAGTTTAGGGGATAACGTAAAACTTCGGACTGAGTCAAAACCTAGAAGAACGGAATGGAATAACAAAAAAGGACAGTGACTTTAACCCAAAACCTTCTAACGTTAGGTTATTATGACTTTATTTTCTTTTTTAATTTTTTGTTTATTAAAAGTAAGACTCCTAATAGCCTTAGTTTGTCTTTTATGATTAACTTAACTAAATCGGGTATAAATATTCGGTACGGGTAAATTTTTACCGTAGGAGAAAGCGAGTAATGCTATTCGAGACTCTCGCTGATATCAATATGCTATAAGCTTTGGCAATGATGAGATATAAATTTCACTTCTTACTTGAAGACTATAAGCCGGTTAATCGAAAATGTCCTAAGAAATATTACCCATCGGCTCGCCATAACCCTTTCTCCTTTTTTGGCATTTTAGGGTCATAAAATTAGAATTCCATCCGATTTTTAGATTTTCGTGTGCTATAACTCATGCCATCTGTATGGGTCCGGGCGTCCAGACCCGAATCGCTAAATTTTTTTCCGGCCTATAAAAAACGACCTAAGGATCATTAGTCATCGCCTCGCCATAACCGTTCCTTGTGTTTTGGACATTTTAGGGCCATAAAACTGTAATTCTGCCCGATTTTTAAATTTTCGTGTGTTATAGCCCACGCCATTTACATGTGTACGGGCGACCGGACCCGAATCGACTAAAATTTTGCGGCCCATTAAAAATGACCTACGTAATGTTAGTCACCTTCTCGCCATAACCGTACCTCATTTTTTGGCGTTTTATTCCGGTCGATTCCCGAATTTTCTTGTGTTATATCCCACACCATCTGTATGATTCAGGCAACCAAACCCAAATCGCCTAAAAATATTTCGGCCCATTAACGACCTAAGGAACATTAGTCATCCACTCGCCATGATCGTTCCTCATTTTTTTTGGCGTTTTAGGACCATAAAAGTGGAATTCAACTTGATTCCCAAAAATTCGTGTGCTATAGCCCACGTTAATTGCATGGGTCCGGACCAGAATCGCATAAAATTTTACCGGCGAATCTAAAACGGCCTAAAGAACATTACTTATCCCATCGCCATGACTATTTCTTATTTTTTGGCATTTTAGGGTCATAAGACTGAAATTTCGCCTGTTTCCCATATTTTCGTGTGCTATATAACCCACGCCATCTACATGAGTGCGGGTGTCTAGACTTGAATCGCCTAAAATTTTATCGGCCCATCAAAAACGACCTAAGGAACATTAGTCATCCCTTCGCTATGACCGTTCCTCTTTTTTTGTTTTAGCGTTTTAGGGCCATAAAGCTGAAATTCCGCTCGATTCCCAAATTTTCGTATGCTATAGTCCACGCTATCTGCATGGGTCTGGGGTCCGGACCCGAATCGCCTAAAAATTTGACAGCCCATCAAAAATGACCTAAGAAATATTAGTTATCGCCTCGCTATGATCATTCCTTATTTTTTGGCGTTTTAAGGCCGTAAAATTAGAATTCCGTCGGATTTCCAGATTTTCGTGTGTTATAGCCCACACCATCTGCATGGGTCTGGGCGACAGGAGCCAAATGACCTAAAATTTTATTTGCCCATAAAATTTATGTGCATCACTGAAAAGTACCAAAAACTAATATCACTGAAAATCTTCCGTGTGCTACTCTCTCCTCTGAGTATTCACAGACTCACCTCTATCCCAAAAAATTTGAGAAAATAAAATGCAAAGCGTGCTTCTCAGTTTTACTATTATACCATTTATGTGCATCATTGTAAAAAGTTTGAATACTTTAAAACTGTTGTAAACGTCAAAGTGTTGGTCGAGATATTAGTAATACCAAAGGTAATACATATATTATTTTACCTTAATACATCCTACCAAACAATTACTGAAATTATCAATCATAAACAGAGTTCAAGCAGAACATCGCGAATGCAAAATTGTCTAGGTGTTGTTTTTATTGTCGTTTGTGACTGTCGATTCTTGCTGAAAGCTCCTAGTAAATGAAAAGAAGATTTCTAGTAAAATGAAAAGTGTGCTTAGACAGACTCTTTCCTGATTTACTACACTAAGTAGTGCTTGTCTTGAACCGTTGCAAATAATTTGAGACCACTAACACTTTCCAAATATTTTTGACAGAAAAAATTCTAACATTTGTATAAACAACGCCTCTATCATAAATTAGAGAGGGTCAACTTATATGAACCGTTTGTACCTAATACGTTATACTGACAAGTGACAACAACAAAATAAAAATAAGAAAGAACCTAGAAGGGTACACTGATCGCATATTTTGACAGGTTTGCTCTAACCAAGTGTGAAACTTTTTTTTTTGTGTGTTAAGGGAATAGCAAGCTGTGTTAGGAGGAAATTCAAATAAAATACTTTGTAGTATATACAGAAACACCTTCAGAAAATAAAACTAGTAAAAAAAATAATTAGTGCCTGATCCCGAAACTTTGACTGGAGATGAATGGACCTATGTCATGTCATTCAAGGTCAAGTATGACCTCGAGACTGGAACAATAGTTACAGGTAGCAACTAACTAGAAAACTACGTTTACTGGCCATGCCAGCGGTTAAAAAGGGTCACTAAAGCAGGAAACGAGGCCCCTGGTTTACTACCAAGTCAGTTAGAGGCATCCTATAAAATTCAACCAAAAAATATAACAGACATAAGAAATTAAATGGAATCTAAAAACTGATTCTCCCTCAACCAGAGCAAACAAATATTATGCCAAAGAAGTACAATCAAAGGCAATCTACAAAAATATAATCCTCATATCATCCACCAAACTTGCCACGTAGGCATTAGACATCAATATAATTAACGAGCAAATATAATGGAGTATAAACCAGAAAGTATCAAAGTGTGTATCCTATCAAATAAATCTCGATCTTGACTATGACCCGACAATCGACAGACTTTCTGAAGCTGACAATCACAACAACAAACTCGGGGATTTAAATTTTTAAGACACTTCAAAACTTATTTAAATTTTTAAGACAAAAGTGTTAAGAATGGGGTAGAAGGGACACTTTTGTGATTAGGGTTAATGACATAATTTTTAAAAACCCCAAAGTTTTTTTATTTACCAAAACGTCCCCTCATCCTCCACCCCGATGGATGTTTTAAACATTCTGGGGATGTTTCAAACTTCACAGGAGATGTTTCAACTATCCCGATGGATGTTTCAAACGTCCCGGGAGATGTTTTAAACGTCCGAGAGATGTTTCAAACGTCCCGATGGATATTTCAAACATTCCGGGAGATGTTTCAAACATTTCCGGGATGTTTCAAACATCATGGGAGATGTTTCAAACATCCCGGAGATGTTTCAACAGAATACTCATTTATGGGGATGTCTCAAAATATCTCGAGGATATTTTGCAAAATACTTACTTTGTAAAATTTTATATTTTTCTCTCTCTCTCTCTTGTATATTTTAAACCAAAGATAAAATGAAAAAAGAAGAACAAGATGAAAATGAGATGAAGAGGGAAAGAAGAAAAACATAAAGAAGAAAATGAAGAAGAAGCAGAAGATGACATACCTGAACCACCTGCAGCAACAACAAAAGTTGAAGAGAAATAAGAAAGTAAGGAAGAAGAATGAGAGAATGAGGAAGAGAAGAAGAAAAGAAGAAGGAAGAAAAAAGAGAAAAACGAAAATTTGAAAT